GGTAATTCCTTGATGTTACTCCTATTGTGTCCTAAGTCATTAAATTCCTTTTTTTTTCTTGGAAACCGAATCACAACTGGTTCAACTGATATGTTTAAGGTCAGCTTTTAAGTGGTGTTGATCGACAGTTGATGTAGACTACTGTTTTCTATTGTAAACACATTTTGTGGTAGATATAGTCTTGTTGTGCATTTCGTGATGGAGGCTTATTTTAAAATTTCGATTCTCTCACCTCTTAAATTGTACTCTATTTTAGAGGAAGTAGGGCCAGACCTCAATGTCATCCGTCTCTTCCGACATCTCCGGTCTTGCTGATATATCATTTCGTAAGGAGAGCATCTGTGAAGAGCCGTCACCTGTTGATTTAGAGGTCAATGAAGCGATTGCTCTTCATCGTTCCAAGGAGCCGAGTTGTACTAGGTAATCGTTCTGAAATAGTTTTTTTTAATCGGATGTCTTGACAGATTGGCATTTCATATCTACATTTAATATCTCCATTGAAGTCAGTGATTTTTACTTCATTTTCCAGGGTGGGAGAGATCGTGGCTGGTATCTCACATTGCAAAGATCGTTTGAAAGAACGCATGACCGAGAGAAATTCGCCAATCAAACAAATGTATCTGGATAAGATTGTTCAGCTGAGCCTAGAAAAACAGACATTGGAGGTTAGTGTCCTTTTATTTGGAAACTTAGCATGGGGAGAAATGCCGATAAAAAAGTTAGGAGCATTCTTCGGAAATTCCATGGGGGATGCAGGAAGTTTTAGATTGTTTCGTAGAGAGTTTACGTGTAGCTTGTTCGAAAGGATGCGACACAGCGTTACGGTTTTCTGCTTGTCTGGTTCATTTGGACTATGAAATCGACTTTATACTATAAGTTCAACCTTTTTTGAGGGACAACACAGTAATGCGATTGTTTTCTAACAGTTTGTTGACCTAACCATACAAGTTTTCTTTCAAATTTATTGTTTTTTGGTTTCCCTCTCAAGTTAAGCAAATTTTAGGAAAACGGAGTGAATGGTGAAGATTCGGTGGTCAAAATGCTTGGCCATGAGTTTGCCCTCCAACGAAGCTCTGGCCGTCGAAATCCCTATTGTGAGGTGTGCATGAGCACAATCTGGCGATTGGTCCAGTCGTGGCGTCGATGTAAAGGTATGAAGTCATTCACATCATCGCATCGTTAAAATAGTTCTGGATTGCAACATCAAAGTTAAATTTCCGTTGTTCAGTTTTTCTCATAATTTCTTACGCTTTTCCCTTTCCTTTTTTTGAAATTCCTTTTCTTTCAATACTCAGATTTTATTTACCAGTTGGCGCCGCACGCGTTGCGCGCACAGCACAGTTCTGCGGCGATATGGGATGGTGCGGCGTGAATTTTCGAATTTGGCCCAATACACTTCGAATTTGACTTTCAAGCTGAATTCTATCCGATTGCCCCATGCTTCATCCACCGATGGCTTTTGACCTTCCCTCCTTCCTCCACCAATTGTCCGTAATCGTCAACCAATTGTCCGTTTTCCCGGCCTCGGACTGCCTCCGGACCGATTTTTATGAACCTCGTGAAACTCCGCCTATTTCTTTGCATGTCCCACCTATCTCAGCCTCGCCGTCTTTGAACTATCCTGAGCTGAATATAATTTTGGCGGCGAATCCTGCTCGTTTGGTCTATCCTCCGCACACCATTAGAAATTCACTTCCTTTCCTTCGCCCACTTCTCTCCCGGTCTTCAGGGCTTCTTGCGGCCGAGTCACAAAGTTTCGTGATCCTCCCCCCCTTGGAAAGTGCCCCCGCCCACCACAGAACAGTTGGGCATTCACTCCGTTCCTCCACGCCTATTCAGTCACCTTAATCCCCGGTCTCGCGTTCGACTTGATAGATACCGATTATGAATTTCCTCCGCAAACTCCGCCCACTTGGGGTGTACGCTCTACCCACCAATAGCACTATCCCTCTCGTGCGTTGTCGGACTCGACCCACACCCTTTCCCGGTCTCCTGGACTTCCCGGAACCAAATTGTAAGTTTAGGGCAAACTCCGCCCACTTTGGTGCACGCCCTACCCAACCAATAGCAGTTCCTCCCTTCCGTCGACGAACTCAATTCACTTTTTTCCCGGTCTCCAAGGAACTTCTTGGAACCGAGTTATGAATTTTCGTGGATGACTCCGCCCTACTTTGGACATGCCCCACCCACCGATGACACTTACCCTCCCTGCCTCAACATCACACCACAACTCTAAAATATAACACAACAATTCTAAATCACCCGTCATACCATAGACTAACAATAACATAATAAGAGACGAAGTATACAGGAATTTCCGTAACCGCAAACCAGTTGCCGCCAACCTTAAAAGAAGCCTACATGCCCAGCTCACGACACACCGACGATTGACAACCTTAAAACGGCTCGCAGCAACCAAAAACCTCACACTCGCTAGAATCCCAGGCCACATGCATACGCTCTAATCAACAATCCTTTCTTCAGTCATCTCGACGACTTGTCTGAAACCTGATTATGAACTTTTCACAAAGAACTGACCTCAAACCTCCGCGCCACCTTGCTCGTTCGCCCCCGCCACGAATGAACGGTAAACCTCCACTCCTCGATCCTGTCCCCTATCCCACCTTTTTCCGGCTCACTAAGATTCCCGGCTCGAATATTACGCACCTTGTAAAAAACCACATTACTTGCAGTAGCGCGCCCCGCCCATTCTGGGCGGGCCTCCGCCCACGTCATGTATGCAGGAAACACCTTAGACATTGCTCCCTTACACCAAATTGTTTTCTGCTCTGTAGGCTTTCTCCCAACCCGAGTTATGAAATTTTTCATAAAGCACTGCTTTTTTAGAGAACGCCCCGCCCACCGGGGTGGGTCTCCCTAATTCGATGTGACTTACCAATGCACACCTTTACCCACTTTTTTGGCCCAGTTTCGAGGCTGTTTTGTCACTGAATTTGAAATCTTGGTCGTCAGTACAGTTCATTTCGATGCACGCCACGCCCACTGTGGGCGGGGCTCCGCTTAGCTGATGTGTGTTTTGTACTTCGTGAGACCTTGCCCACCCATCCCACACTTGACCCGGTCCCTCCAGGCGGATCCCGAGGAGCTAGGGAATTTCGTGACAGACATACAGAACGACAGACAGACGACAGACGAAGCGCTTTATAGTAAGTAGGATACCGATCTACGTGTTGTTCTTGTTTCGGTTGTCCTTGTTTTTCGTCATCCCGCCACGGTTGCCCAGGACAAACTTTGAAGTTTTGAGAATGGCTCGTCCAAGCCTGGATTTACCATTTGAACTATACTTTTGCGAATATTAATTGCTCAAATATTTTTTCTTGAATGGATTAGTTTCATATTACCTATTCGCGGACTTGTTCTAGCGTGCGGTTTGCGAGCCCACGACAAATGTGCAACAGAAGTTCATCGTGTCTGTGCCGGTGTGGTCGCTTCACGTCGAGATTTTCGGCTAGCGATGGCAATCTGCGAAGAAAGAGGTCTATGCGCTCAGGATTATGCTTGTGCTGAATGTGAGACTCCGCTAGCTTACGGTAAGCTCTCGGAAGTTACTTCGTGATTTTCATAGCAAATCTGTTCTGTGGTTCTGTTTGTACATACTAGGGGCCAGTTGAGCGTATTTTTCTTTGTACAGACGTTCCGAAGAGTTGCGAGTATTCAGTTGAAGTTGTTTCCAGAAGGTCCCGCTAATATGCAGCCTCGTCTCTGCGAGTATACTGGAATGCTGTTTTGTTCTAACTGTCACTGGGGCGATACATGGTCAATACCGGCGAGGTAGGTTTGCACAATCTTTGTGATGTTTCTTAAGGAGTAGTTTTTTTCATTTCTAGAATAATTCACAATATGGACGCGAGACCAAGGCCAGTGTGTCGTGCCGCTAAGCAACTACTGGCAATTGTAGATAATCGACCGCTGATCGACTTGTCTGAAGGCGCATTCATCCCTCACTAAGTACCATAAGGTAAGCCTATAGATTGCCACGGAGTATCCAGTGATTGAGGTGCTTTTCAGGAGTTGCGACGAGTACAGCAGCTGCGACGAAACTTTTTGCTGATGAAATGCTATTTTGTTAGCTGTCGAGTGAGTTACCTTTGTTGACTTTTCACTGGTATCAAGCTTTGAATTTTTTGAAGTTCCACTTATGACCGATACGTGGTAAGTAAC